GACGCTGCACATAGTCTTTCTTTCCCACAAGGTGGTCACATTTAAGGTGAACTGCATTTCGACCCCCGCTAGGGGTGTTGATCAGACCTAGTAGAGTTCAAAACTGCAGTTCACCTTTTGGGAAAGCAGGGCTATGTGAAATTCAATGTTAACATCAATTCTATAAATATCCTTGTAGATAAATTCAACTACCAGTCTTTCATCACATTAAACGAAATAAGATGAATAGAATTTATATACTCTATATATTGTTTTACCAGTAATCTTATTACAAGACAAATGGATGCTAATTTTTCTCCGAGCTGGCTTTGTCTCTATTTTTCGAGTGTATTATTCTCTATTTAATTACTTGACGATTCAAGATTTGAAACGATGTTTGTCACTTTTTATTATTTATGCGAGTACAAATTGAGCTGTATTATTTATAAATTTAAACCCAAATTTGCCTACACTGTTCACTTTTTCTTAACTCATTTTTGTAGCCTGAATTTGAGGAATTTAGCTTGCTGACGAATCAGTCAATTGATCCCATTCCTAAAAGCAATCTTGAATTGATGAATATGTCTCCTTTATCAGGATGTGGATCAGCTGTGACGACTGGAGCCACTATTCGCCCTTTTGAAAAGGCAGGGATAGATAAAATTTCCATTATAGCTCAAAATTCTACTCTAAAAGACATTTGTAAAGTGCCTCAAATACGTCCTGTAAAATGGGATCTTACAACAAAGTTTAAATCCACTCAAGCTAGTCAAAACGGAGTTCATATCAACATGCAAAAGCAAAAAGATTCTCGAAGGCAGAATGGGAAAAGAATCAACAGTGATCATAGAAGGAAGGATATGGAGGTACTTAGTACTGACCCTGAAAAACTGTAACTTGTTTAATGCTAAATCAAAGGTGTTCTTTGGTATGTATGAGTATATTCTGGCATTGTAAAAAGTAGCTGATTGAGAGGCCCAGTGATTAATCATTAAGTACAAATCTCTAGTGATAAGGCTGCCAAACATTTGTACTTAAATAATTTTTTCGCTTTTTATTGATTTTTAAAACTTTGTAGTGCTTAAAAATGCTATTAGAATTTTCTTAGCATTTTATCATAATATATATGAAAAAGGTTATCACGATGCACTATTTGAATATAAGAAATATTATCATTCCTATATCGCATATGTACTTTTAATATCCATCGTGAGT